ACCCCTATTTGGCAGTAAATCCGCTTTTGAGTTCGAGTCCGAAACTGATCTTGATTCGATCGTGATTCGTCCGAGTCTGTTCTCGGTTGGATGACTCGTTGATTCCTTAATTCGTTAGCTTGATTTTGCACGCGGGTGGATTCATTCCGTTGTTCGCGTGCGATTGGTCGATCTCGTCGCCTCGTTGGTTCGTCGGTTTGTGCCGAGCTGAGCTAAGGGACCTATAAGCAATTTTATATGCCTACATGAGGGAAACTAACTATTTGTATTAGGAGATTGTTAAAGTTACGAGTTAATTGTTAAGGTTACGAGTTAATTGTTAAGGTTACGGGTCAATTGTTAAGGTTATGGATCCCTTCTCTCTCTCTCTCTATCATGATGTTACTGTGATGATGTTGAAATGATTAAAGGGGATTGTTATTTTATTATTTTTGTTTTTTATTATTTTCGTTGTTGATGAGGAAACTAATTGTTTTTGTTTGTATTGGGAGATTGTTAAGGTTACGGGTTTAATTGTTAAGGTTACGGGTTGATTGTTAAGGTTATGGGTTTAATTGTTAAGGTTACGGGTTTAATTGTTAAGGTTATGGATTTGTTGTTAAGGTTACGGGTCGATTGTTAAGGTTACGGTTCGGTTGTTAAGGTTACGGGTCGGTTGTTAAGGTTATGAGTTTAATTGCTAAGATTACAAGTTTAATTGTTAAGGTTACGAGTTTAATTGTTAAAGTTACGGGTTTGTTGTTAAGGTTACGGATCGATTGTTAAGCTTACGGGTTGGTTGTAAAGGTTACACGTTGGGATATATGTGTATATATATTTTGAGTGGAATGAATACTTTGGGTCACTTGACCTAGTGGTAAAGTTTGGGAGTTTGGACAAGAGGTTAGGGATTCAAACCCCTACAGCCACAAAATTTTTAGAATATTCATTGTTAAGGATAATGGTTGATTGTGAAGGTTACGGGTTTGTTGTTAAGGTTACGGGTTTGTTGTTAAGGATATACGTTGGTTGTGAATGTTACGCTTTGGTTGTGAAGTTAACATACACAACAAACCCGTAACATTAACAACAAACCGGTAACCTTAACAACAAACCCGTAACCTTCACAACCAACCCGTTACGGGTTTTTAGAATATTCGTTATTAAGGATACGAGTTGCTTATTAAGGATACGAGCTGCTTGTTAAGGTTACGGGTTTGTTGTTAAGGTTACGAGTTTGTTATTAATGTTACGGGTTTGTTGTGCAGGTTAACTTCACAACCAAAGCGTAATATTCACAACCAACGCATATCCTTAACAACAAACCCGTAACCTTAACAACAAACCCGTAACATTAACAATTAAACCCGTAGCCTTAACAATTAAACCCGTAACCTTAACAATTGAACCCGTAACCTTAACAATTAAATCCGTAACCTTTACAACCAACCCGTAACCTTAACAACCGACCCGTAACCTTAACAACAAATTCGTAACCTTAACAATTAAACCCGTAACATTAACAATTAAACCCGTAACATTAAAAACCAACCCATAACCTTAACAATTAAATCCGTAACCTTAACAATCTCCCAATACAAACAAAAACAATTAGTTTCCTCATCAACAACGAAAATAATAAAAAAAAACAAAAATAATAAAATAACAATCCCCTTCAATCATTTCAACATCATCACAGTAACATCATGATAAAGAGAGAGAGAGAGAGAGAGAGAGAGAGAGAGAGAGAGAGAGAGAGAGAAAGAGCGAAGGGATCCATAACCTTAACAATTGACCCGTAACCTTAACAATTAACTCATAACCTTAACAATTAACCCGTAACTTTAACAATCTTCCAATACAAACAGTTAGTTCCCCTCTCAATAACGAAAATAATAAAAAACAAAAATAATAAAATAATCCTCATCAATCATTTTAACTATCATCTTAGTACATCATGATAAAAAAAAGAGAGAGAGAAGAGTATTATGGTCTTCACATAATCTCTTGGGTTTTATGTTTTAGGAGCTCAGAGAACAAAATCTTTATTTTTGGGGGCAAAACACCAGTTGACAAAGTCTTGGGGGGGGGGGGACATCATGATAAAAAAAAGAGAGAGAGAAGAGTATTATGGTCTTCACATAATCTCTTGGGTTTTATGTTTTAGGAGCTCAGAGAACAAAATCTTTATTTTTGGGGGCAAAACACCCGTTGACAAAGTCTTGGGGGTGGGGACGGGGAAGCATGTTTTCTTGGGTTTTGGGGGCTGGAAGCATTTTTCCCTTATTTTTTTAACTAGTTGGGGTACTAGATAGGATGTTTCATTTTAACTGAAATGAGCTTTTTCCTAAAAAGATAATCTGGTCAATTCACCTTTTGAAGTAACTACATCAAAGGGGTTCTCTAAGAAAAGTGTAGAGACCACAAGGAGTTCTGTGAGACACTCCATAATTGTGATGGTTTTGTGAGACACTTCAAAATTGTGGAAGGTTTTATGAGACACTCCATAATTGTGTAGGGTTGTCTAACATTTTCGGAGGTAACTAGATGCTAATTTAATAGACTGGTATTAAAAATGAGACCTAACTGTCGACTTAGTATTTTTTTAACTCCGAAGATAATAAAAAACTTGCACGATTGGACAAAGAGACTCAAAAACTCATCAGTAGCCATTTTTCTCTGGCACTCACTAATGTGACCAAACACGTACATCTAATGTGGCTCATTTATGACGACACTGTCGTAGTCGGGCTCATTCATGCCATTAGAAGGGTGTTTTTTAATTAGAGAAAAAAGTTTTTTTTTAAAGTTGGTTATCTTCTTATTATTCTTTCTAGGAAAAATTTCGGGCACGAATATAGTTTAGAGTAGTTATATACCCCTTTATCTTAGCCACGTCAGCATTAAGACAATACAATTGACTTTTAAGGTAGCCACGTCAGATTCGCGTATTTGATCACATGAGCAGGTGTGGGAGAAAAATGGTAAGCAATGAGTTTTTAAGTCTATTTGTCCAATCATATAAGTTTTAATATTTTGTAAGTCATGTTATTTGTCGGAGTTCCAAAAAAAACGTCTTATATTTAGGGTTTGTTTGTTTGCCTAAAAAAAGTGGGAAATCAAAGAAATGAAAAACTATTTCTAAGAAGAATTGTTTTGGGAGTGTTTGGTTTGCTAAAAAAAGAAGGAAATCAAAGAAATGGAGATGAGATGAGATGTGTTGTCACCTTATTATAGGATGATGTGAGTGTTTTTTTAAGAAAACTTGTTTTGATGTTATTTGGTTGGCGAAAAAAATAAGGAAATGAATTATAAGAAACCTATTTCTTGTAATAAGTTGTTTTCTTTTGTTTGGTTCATTCTTAAAAATAAGAAAATATATAGATGAGATGAGATGAGTTATCATTATATTATTGGATGATGTGACCCACACTTAAGGAAATTGTTTTCCTAGTTTTTTGGGAGGAAATAGGGGCCTGTTTGGTTATTTCCTAAAAAACCAAGAAATAGAAATGAAAACAAAGAAAACTCAAAAAGTACAATTTCATCCATTTCCATCCATAAAACTCACCCACAACATCTAATAAAATATTATTTTTATCAAACAACTCATCCACCACATCTAATAAAATATTATTTTTATCCAACAACTCATCCACCACATCCACCATATCTAATAAATACTATTTTCATCTAACAACTCATCCACCACATCTAATAAAATATTATTTTCATCCACAACATCACTCAACTGATCTCATGTTATCATTTCAAATCACTCACATCATCCAATAAGATGGTGACAACTCATCTCATCTCATTAACATTTTATTTCCACCCATTTCCTCCCAAAAAGCTAGGAAAATAATTTCCTTAAGTGTAGGTCACACCATCCAATAATATAATGACAACTCATCTCATCTATTTTCTTATTTTTAAGTATGAACCAAACAAAAGAAAACAACCTATTACAAGAAATAAGTTTCTTATAATTCATTTCCTTATTTTTTTTCGCCAACCAAACAACATCAAAATAAGTTTTCTTAAAAAATCACTCACATCATCCTATAATAAGGTGACAACTCATCTCATCTCATCTCCATTTCTTTGATTTCCTTCTTTTTTTAGCAAACCAAACACTCCCAAAACAATTCTTCTTAGAAATACTTTTCTATTTCTTTGATTTCCCACTTTTTCTAGACAAACAAACAGACCCTAGTTGGAAACGAAATGTTAATGAGATGAGATGAGTTGTCACAATCTTATTGGATGATGTGAGTGATTTGAAATAATGAGATGAGATGAGTTGAGTGATATCGTGGATGAAAATAATATTTTATTAGATGTGGTGGATGAGTTGTTAGATAAAAATAATATTTTATTAGATGTGATGAATGAGTTGTTGGATAAAAATAATATTTTATTAGATGTTGTGGGTTGGTTTTAGGGATGAAAATAGATAAAATTGTACTTTTTGAGTTTTCTTGGTTTTTATTTCTATTTCTTAGTTTTTTAGAAAATAACCAAACAGGTCCTTAATACCAAATTGAAACGGTGATGTACAACACTCCAGAGTTGAAAGGGATTTACGAGGTCTAAAGCTGAAAGTACTTTCTTGAAATTTAAACGCAATTAAAACAGTCAGATTAAACACTTGGTAGTTCATCAAGTGAGTCAGCCTCAATCTGTCAAGGACAAATTTTCAAAACCGACCCTTTTGGGTTTTTAATTGCAAAAAACGACCGGTTTTGAAAATATTTATAAAAAACGACCTGCTTAGCTGAAAACAGGTCGGTTTTTTTAAATTTTTTTGGGAAACTTCACGGGAGTTGAACTCCCGTGAAGTTTTTCTCATAACAAAACTTCACGGGAGTTGAACTCCCGTGAAGTTTGGAAAAAAAAATTTCAAAAACCGACCCAGTTTCAACTAACTGGGTCGGTTTTTATAAATAAAACTGAAATAGGTCGTTTTTTGCAATTAAAAATCCAAAGGGGTCGGTTTTGAAAATTTGTCCGTAATGGTTACATGTCTCATCCTTCCTCCCACGCGATCCCGATCCCCGGCAGCGCTCGAGGAGGGCTTTGGCCTTTCGTAGGCCCGATCTCAGCAAGCGCAGTGAGAGAGAGAGAGAGAGAGAGAGAGAGAGAGAGAGAGAGAGATCTCAAGAAGCCGGCGATCTTGACCTCGGGAAAGCTTCACTATGTGCCGTTGGTGGGGACTGAGTGAAGGTTAGGTGACGAAAGATCAAGAAGCCCTCTTTAAACGGTTCCTTTTTCTTTATTTTCTGTTTTTGGTGCTTTGATAGGTGAAATTGGTGGTTTGATTTTGTAGGCCACGAAGAGGAACCGTTTGGTGATGTTGCTGTGATCTGAAGTGGAGATGAACACTGTCGGCTTTGATTCTCGCCTATAGTAAGAAAATTTTCCTTATTTTTTTAATTATCTTCAGCTTTTTTCTTTTTTGATTTCCATTAAAATCATCGGACAAGTTGATATGGAGATTGCATGGTTATGGTTTATATGGAGATTTGAATCTGACCGCATTTTTTGTTTATAGAGTATTTAACTTGTGAAATTTTAAAGTTTTAATTACTGTAGAATTCACTATTAACAATGATCGAGAATGCAGAACTGTTGAAGCTGACCTATGCAAAAACATATTGGTACTGATAAGAGTCATCGGTTCTGTTAATGTACAGAAATTAGTATGAGGTATAGGGACTATTTAGGGGGCTCTTAATCTCTGATCACTGATTATCTTAAAGGGTGTATCGTGCAATGAGAATCGCGCTATGAGGATCTACACAAAATAACAAGGGTTAGAGGCCCTGGAGGTAGTTTCCTCCGGTGACCCCCTGGATGCTCAAGTCAGTGACTAGTCTGATAATCTGAAGAGAACAGCAGAATATAATCTTTTGGGGTTTTTTGCTGCATACCTCTGAATAGCGAAAACCATGCTATTTATAGGAGGTTACTGAGGGCATTTGGGTAATTTATTCAATTGGTTGATCTGACACTGTATCATCGTTTTACACATGTCCAAAGTGGATTGGTTGTAGATAGATAACTGTAGTCATAGTATTAATATGACAATGACACAATGGCGGGATTGTGGGTGCCGCTGCTGGAGGGCCATCATGATACTTAACCATGCATTAACTGCGACAGTGACTAGGTGGTAGAATATGGGCGCTGCATTATTCATCACTAAATGTGAACACTGTTTGACGAGACTGCTAGACATTCCGTGTTCCCAACTTGAGGACACCTTTCGACCCGACTCGGATTTCGCTATGAAGACCGACTCGATGACGCCTCTTGTCTCAGGGGGGGTGCGGACTTGTTGGTCCAACTTGCAACCTAAGCTTGTGTGGACCGTCTGCTTAATCCCACTACTTACACCATGTGTCTGTTTTAAGGATATGATGATTTTCAAGTTATAACACTGGCCCCATTTCGCTTAGGCTCGAATTAGCCGAGTGCAAGGGAAATAAAACCACTTTAGCCTTTGCGGGAATCTCGAATTGTGATGCCTCTGGGTTCACACAAGGCTGCAGTCCAAGGTGAATCTAAGAATGTTAAACCTTACCCGTCATGCACCAATACCGTGTAACAACACGTTTCACTATCACAGTTACTATCTCTCTAGTGGAAACAAACAACAGGTGTAGGTACAGAACAAGCAAAAGAATAATAAAGCAATACAATGAGCAAGATAAGTACAGAAGAAATGTACAAATAAACGTCATCAGGGCCCAACTGAATTAGAATAAAATATCTCTGAAATTGGAATAAATGTAATATGTCTTAATACAAAGAGTCAAGTGAAAACCTACTAAGGCACTCAGCATTTACAAAATAAAAATACAAACTCTAATGTTTGAAGATAAACATCTACTGTAGAGCTTTGAAAAAATAACTAAAAATATAATATAATAGATGGAAGCTATTATGCATCTCCATTAACCTGCGACTCTTCGTGGGCCTGACTCGCTGCTTGAAAAGAGGGGAAACAACGAGCGTCAATACGTTAGCGAGATCATCTCCATCGCCCCCAGGGGAAGGGGTAGGAGTGTATAAGAAAATACAAGTTAGTATATATAGATATAAAATCATCTATACTATACTAAGTGGAAATTGGTATTTAAAACCCCATAACACGAGAATTAGTACATCGAGCGAAATAATCTAAACAAGGAAACCCTCATGTATGTACAATATCTCAAATTGTGAATCGCTAAATATCAATTCCAATCATATGCATGTAAAACAATACAGAAGAAATGTTACAACTCCAAACCTCAACCATGGTAAGCCATGAAAAATCTCAAACTACCCTTGGGTAGTTGGCGCAGTCATAAGAAATATCGTCCAACACAATCATCTTCATAGAACATGTCATATATGCCAAATGTCCAAGTCATACCTTACTCTCGGGTAATCTAGTATGGGAGCAATAATGCAAACTGTATATATACCTCTTCATGAAATAACGATGCTATTGTAAGACCATCACAATATCCTGTGTCTACCACATTACTCAATCGTTTTGCGGAGATAGGTAAATCACCGTCTATCGTATGATGCATAATAGATGATCGCCAAGCGGAGTATAGACATATCAGTCCAATTTGAAAATACCACGATCATCCTAGAGTGTGGTCCATCCACGATCTCATTTACGGTAAACTAACCAACTCTTAGTGTAGTCCATCCGCAGTCTCATTGCGGTATACCGACTAACCCACTAAGCATCCACAACTAATGTAATATTTTTAATATATGTGTTAACTCTAACACCATCCATATTAAACGTGTGTTACACATCTCAACAATTCGTGTAAACTAAAACAAAACATGTATTCAAATGTTTGCGCACATGTCTCGATGTGCAGAACCAAATCTCGTGTTCACAAACACCTCATGTGTCAAATAAACAACAAACAACATATAACAATGTCAGTCAACCGAGAAAATCCTTCGGTCAAACAACTAATTGTGCAAAACATGCACATACACATACAGGCTGGTCGGTCGACCGGCACCTATGCGGCGGTTGACCGA